TTCTCCCAACGGATGTACAAGCAATCAAACAAATACTCTTGTGTACTAGTAACGTGGAGGACTTTTGGGCATGGCAATTTGAGAAAACTGGAATATTCTCTATACGATCTGCTTACAGGCTTTTGGCATTGATCAAACGGAACGGAGAAGCTGAAAGGGAAGGAAGGGCCATCTTCGAACTCTTATGAAGTAAAGGGTTGGAGCTCACTCTGGAGTACTCAAGTCCCGACAAAGATTAGAGTGTTCTTATGGCGCCTTGCGAGACACTCGCTTCCCACGAAATATGTCAGACACCAGCGACACATGTCTAACACCGATAACTGTCAGATCTGCGGTGCCCTGGACTCATGGAAGCACTCACTTGTCAAGTGCACTTCAGCCAGATGCGTTTGGGCTCTCGTGGATGAGGAATTATCTGAGAAGTTGATCGATATGAGTGACCCAAGTGCCAAGAGGTGGTTGTTTGATCTCCGTGATTCGTTATCACATGCACAATTTTCCAGGGTGGTGGTGACTTTATGGGCAATATGGACTGCTAGAAGGAAGGCAATACATGAAAATATATTTCAAAGTCTGATGGTTACTCATTTGTTCATTGGACGCTTCATCAGTGAACTTGATTCTGTCAAGGTGATCAACCCCCCTTCGGTTCCTCAAAGAACTGCCTGACCTAATGCTACACCGTGGAAGCAACCGACTGAAGGCTTTTGCAAAATACATGTTGATGGTGGGTTGTCAACTGATGGCAAAATTGATGCCTCCGCTGCGATCTGCAACAATAGAGATGGAAGCTACATGGGTTCCTCATCACTTGTTCTTCCTGGAACTACAAACCCGGCGACTTTGGAGATGCTTGCTTTTCGCGAGGCATTGTCATTAGCTGAAGATCTCTCGTTGTCGAAGTATTGCATGTGACTGCAAGACAGTGGTGGAGGATATTTCAAAAGGGCGAGGGGCTCCTACGAGGCTATTGTAAAAGAGTTTTTATTTAGATCTAGTTCTTTTTTCAGTTGCCTAGTTACCTTTGAAGATAAGCTTCGAATACTGAAGCACATAATCTTGCCGGACACGCTGCTATGCTTGATTAGTGATCAGTAAAGTTTGGCAAATCTCAAAAAAAAACATAACCCTCACCACTTATACAACACAATAAAACTCCAGACGAGAACACAATGACAACTTAGACACCAAAGCCACGTTGATAGCCTGAAAAGCTGGGCACCATCCATCATGAAATCATGGACGTCTTCCCCATAATGCCATCCTTCTTTGTTTCTCTTCCATTTCTACCTGTTTGGTTTCTTCTTTGGGAGGCAGCTACTTGTCATGTCGGGTCCATGGTGATCAGCCAGCCTGAAGATCTACCTCTTCCCAGAGTCGGGCGGCGCAGAGATTGGACAAGGCTATGGTTTTGGCCGGCCTTCGTGGCAGGTTGTCGTAGCTAGGGAACACACTTTTCCTCCGATTAGGTTATGCCAATGTTGTTCACCTGACACCGCTGCCCTCCACTCGGCCCCGCCGCCACTTCTATCGCCTCAAAGAGAGATGCACCTGAAGAAATTTTCGCGGATAGGTCGTGTGGGTCTGTGGGTTTTTAGCCCAAACTTCTTTCCTTTACGGAGAATTAGACAGCCTACCTTTTTTTGAACAAGAAAAGGCGCCCAGAGCGCCAAACTTTCATTCAAACTCAGCTCGGGTACATAGTACAACATGAATTACAGAGATAGGACAAGCTGAATTACAAAGAGGAGCTAAGAAGGGACATCCTGCTTGTCCATGAGCTAGTTTCACACATGAGAAGACAGGTTCTACACTCAAGGTGAGTACCTGATGAGCACAATTGTGAGCTATTTCGTTCAGCTACCTTGAGACAAAGAAAAAAGTGGCCTAAAGCTGTGAGGAGCAACCAAAGATCTGAGCTAACTGACTTCTGATCTTTCTGCAAATAAGGAGCCCTGACCAATATAGAAGCAAAAACATAGCTGCAGTTCCAGCCAACAGAGGAAAATTTGATTGGAAAGTAGAAGCTTGTCCGGTAATTGGAAGATCCGAGTGTCCAGCATTATTTTAGCACTTCCAGGAGGCGTCAAAGAATCTTTTCGGCCCTGCAATGTGAAGATCGGACGCAACTGTGTTCCCTAGAGCTGGCCTCTGGACGGCCTATGTTTTCCCTTCATCCTGAAGTTTATTGAAACACACAAGGCCCACAAAACACCAAACTCATCATTCAGCTCAGTAGCAACGAACAACATGGATTGCAAAGCCCTGAAACTGAAAATTAGATAGAAGAGAAACTATAGGGCAAATCATACTCCTATGAGCTGAAGCAAAGCAACATATGTCAGGTTCAAAAACTGATCTAAGAACCTGATGAGCTACATTATGAGCAATACCATTTATCTGTCTAGAAATGTGAAACACCTGCGATTGAAGATCTGAAGAATAGTGGAAGAAATCGGCCAAAGTTTTCCTGATAGACCAAGGAGTGGAAGCCTCAGAAATCCTTTTATTTGCCGCAACCGAAGCCAAGGAAAGACAATCTGTGAGAAAAGTAGGTCTGGTAATGTGCAGACGGCTGGCCACCTGTGCAGCAAAAAGAAGGGCAAGAGCTTCCGCTTGCAAAGGTGTGCTTGTAATGGATGTGGACGCCTGAATCTGCACATTTACTTCAATTTGATCCTGTTGCAAAGAAAGATAAACTCCAACTCCAGTAGCTCCCGATCCCTGAGTTAAACCTGGAACTTTTTTACATTTAAAAGCAGCATCAGAATAAATTTTGGGGCCTACAA